TAACATCTAATATGTATGTCTTGATGTGTGCTAGATTTTGGAATGAGCACTTTATGGTGCATTTAATTCTCTCCCAAAATCCGTGTTTGTTATTCTAATTGGAAAGATGAGGAAACAGGCTGGGAAAAGTAGACTAACTTGCCCTGGGGGAACACTTAGTGAGATGAGGAGCCGGGATTTGAGGAGCCTGAAGAGTCTGCTCCAGGGTCCACTCCACTAGATTGCCCCTTACGGTAGCATGTGGAACAGCACCAACAGCAACCCACTCTCACACTCCTTCCCCAAAAGGTGACATGTGAGGGTTAGGCCCTGAGGCTATTTCTGTTCTAAGAGTCATTAAGAACATCACAAGGTCCCTTGTGACCCCAGTGCCAGTTCCCCCATCGAGTCATTCATTCCTGCAGTGAGCACCCACTGAGCATCTCTGGCAAGCCCCATGATGGCACAAGCAATGCAGGAATCTTCAAGACATCCTGCGGGGGATAGGAAGCCCAGTGAGAGCATGGGTCCTGTCTTGTCTCTGCACCATCGTATCTCTGATGAGGAATGAATGAATCAATGTAAAAACTAAGGAAACTATCCACAGAAACACAGGATGGAAAAAGTCCCTACTTAAAAAAAAAAAAAAAAAAAAAAATTACCTATAGGTCATGAGGCATATCCCATAATCTAATCTGTATGTTCGCTTTTGTAAAAATAATGAGATGTTAGCAGTTTCAGAATTACTGTTCTCTTACTCTGTTTCTCTGACAAGAAACACACTATCTGCGCTGCATTAGAATTATTGTGAGTAGTTATCCCTTAGCAGGAACCATATTATTTTAACGCACAGATGAATTTCAATTAGACATTTATCTAACCCATGCTGATGTATTTTAAATTTAACCCTAAATTACAGACTTTTCAAATAACTCTGCTCTCCCCTCTGTTCTCTCTCTTCAATTTTGGTTTGGTTTTGTGAAAGGTCTGCTGGTAAAAATGAAGCAATACCAGTAACTTATCTACAAATTACGGGAAGGAGAAAGTAGGTTAAAAAAGACCAAGAAACTTAAAACAAGTATGACCAAACCACATCCGAGTTAGACAGGAAACAATAGGAGACTGTTCTTGCTCAGAGGGAAGGAAGGTAAATCTTACCAGGACCATTGTCAAAAAAGTCATAAACGAGATTCACCTCCACTCTTCCCAAATTTCAACTGCAGTCATCAGAATACAACAAACTTTGATTTCACACCCAGGGAAAGACAAAAACCGGAAGTAGAAAGCTGACACTTTCACTTGGGCTGTCAATTCCTTCTACACTAAAAAAAAATCTCATTTTCAGTTCAGGCATCTACCATAATGAGTAGCTATGTGTCTAATATATTGAGGGAACAACCTTCACCCCAAGCGGAGGCCATAGGGAAAATGAACAAATCTCTTAAAGTCTCCCTCTGATTATTAGTTTGACTAAAGTGGGTATCCTAAGCTGAAGAGTCACCAGTAACTTTCTACAATTAGCTTTTGCTCAAATTGTAAACCCCATGTATCAATGTCAATATCCTGCTGTGGTACTGTACTAAAATTTTGCAAGATGTTACCAACAGGGGAAAACTAGGGGAAGGGTATTATTTTTTCTTACAAGGGCATGCCAATTAATTTCAATTAAACAAAAAAACCTTGCAGCTATGGTCAGTGTGGCTCAGTTGGTTGGAACATCGTCCCGTGCACAAAAAAGTGGAGGGTTCAATCCCCATTCAGGGTACATGCCCAGGTTGCGGGTTCGATCCCTGATGGGGGTGCATATGGGAGGCAACGGATCAGTTTATCTCTCACACCAGTGTTTCTCTCTCTCTCTCTCCCCCCTTCCTCTCTCTAAAATTAATTAAAACAGGACATACAAATGGCTAAGAGACATATGAAGAAATAAATGCTCAACATCACTAATCATCAGAGAGATGCAAATTAAAACAACAATGAGGCATCACCTCACACCTGTCAGAATGGCTGCCATCAACAAATCATTAAACAACAAGTGTTGGCAAGAGTGTGGAGAAAAGGGGACTCTAGTGCACTGCTGGTGGGAATGCAGACTGGTGCAGCCACTATGGAAAACAATATGGTGTTACCTCAAAAAATTAAAAACTGAACTTCCATTTGACCCAGTGATCCCACTTCTAGGAATATACCCTAAGAAGCCTGAAACACCAATCAGAAAGAATATATGTACCCCCATGTTCGTAGCAGCACTATTTACAATAGCTAAGATCTGGAAACAGCCCAAATGTCTATCAGTAGACAAATGGATAAAAAAGTTGTGGTACATATACACAATGGAGTACTATGCAGCTGTAAGAAAGAAAAATCTCTTATCCTTTGAGACGACATGGAGGGACCTGGAAAGTATTATCCTAAGTGAAACAAGCCAAACAGAGAAAGACAAGTATCATATGATCTCGCTTATTTGTAGAATATAATGAGCATAACAGTCTGAGGAATGGGGTAATCCCAGAGATGTGGAAGTGGGGTACAGACTGACAATCCCCAGGAGAGGGGGTGGTGGGGGAGAGATAAACCACAGAACTTATATGCATGTATGCATGAACAATGGGACATGGACAACAAAGCTGGGGACAGGGCGGGGAGGGAGGTGGAGGGGGGAATCAGTGGGAGAAAAAGGAGAAACACCTGCAACATAAATAAATTAATTTAAAAAATAAAATAAAATGTAAAAAAAAAAAAAAAACACCCAAAATAAATAAATAAATAAAAACAATGAAAAACAACAACAACCCTGCAAACCCCAGCACCCCAATGATCTCTGGGGTTCATCTTGAAAAACCAAGTCTAACCTCAGCAGTGAGTGTCACATAGAAAGACATTCTGGCCCTGGCCAGTTTGGCTGAGCAGTTAGAACATCAGCCCGTGGACCAAAGAGGCACAGGTTTGATTCTGGTCCAGGGCATGTACCTTGGTTGCGGTTCAGTCCCCGGCTCTGGTTGGGGTTGTGAGGGAGGCAACCAATCGATGTATCGATCTCTCTCTCACTCTCTCTCTCCCCTTTCCTTCCTCCCACTCTATCTGAAGATAAATGGAAAAATATCCTCTGGTGAGGATTAAAAAAAAAAGACATTCTGTAATGAAGCCTTAGCAGCTATCTTGGGCTCTGGAAATTACAAGACAAAATAAAGTCCAAAGGGACTCAATACATTATAACTTATTATTCATGTAAATATATTATGTATTAGCACCAGGCTGGGTGGGGACTGGGGAAATTCAATGGCAAACACAGGCCTCGTGTGATGGTGGCAGCCTCTGAGAAACTTCCTGCAGAAACATGTTGTGCACCATGGGACCAGGTCTTCTGACTAGGAGACCCTGCTAATTCTGTCTCCACTACTTGCATTCCTTCTACAAAGGCGAGTTTAAGAAAGCTGCAAAGAAGTATCTCCAGCTCCGTAAACACCAAGCCAGCTCCACATTTTTCTAGACCATGTGTTGTCATGACAAGGGGAGTGTTTCCTGTTCAATGCTATCACCCCCGTCATCTCTAGGTTATACCCTCTCACCAAACACTATACATTCTCCTTAGAGCACTTGTAAGACTTGATAGTACAGTTGTTTATATACCTGATCGACATTTGTCTCTCCTACTGCACTGTAAAGCTCCAACACGACTGAAACTGTTTAGAATTTTATATATCCCCAGAACTAACATGATGCCAGATCCAAAGAAAGGGCTTAAGAAACACTGGTTGAATGAATCAAAGAGAGGACGAGCCACACAGGGCCCATGAAAAGAACCCATTCAATCCAGCTGAACTAATGCCATCACCAATAAGGACAGAAAGTTTCTGGGAACCTTCTCAGAGGCTCAAATGCTCCCTTAAAGAACAAAGTGGCTTGGCTAAGCTACTGCACACCAGAAAAACCAGAAGGGCAGGGGACTCTCATAATGGTACATCATGTAGTTCTGGCCTTTCATGCTACAGGATCACTCTCTACCCACTCCTTCAGATATGGCCACAGAGCTGACTGCCTGAGGGCAAGGTCAGCCTTTTACCTGTATGTCTACACTCTGGGCTCACCTCAGACATGTCTGCTGAGAGCTCATGCTGTGGCAGATATACTGACAAACAAGATGCCCGCCATTTGCTGCTTAAAGCTGGTAATATCTTTGATAAGCGGAAACCAGCAGCAAGGGCCTTCCAGGCTTTGGGTTGGTAAGGGCACAGGTACAAAGGCAGAAACATGGGCACAGTGGGGAAAAAGCAAGCTGGACCAGTACTAAGGTAGCCTGGAGCTCAGTACATATGAGCAGGAGAGCAGGAGTGAAGGCAAGCGAGATGTACAGGAGCCAAGCTGGGAAAGCCTCACGAGAAGTCATTATACTGGTCATCAGTGTTTTCCTTTAGCAGAGCACAAACATGCACAAACCAAATATGGTCTGTTTTGGCTGCAGTTGAGTGATAATTTAAAACTTGGGAGATTTTGCATCAAAATGCAGATGTCCAGCTTCTCTGGAAACATGAGAAAACCTAGCAATATTGCATCCATATTCCTGCAGAACTACTGCAGTCTGGGATGGAAGAACAACTGCTCACAAAGGATGCACACACTCTCCAATTTGCCACAGTCCCCACCACTCCCTCATATGGGGCCTATGTTTTTATAGATGTTCCATGTCCAGCCTCTATAGCTATGTTTGTCTTAGACAAGGTATTCTTCCATCCTGTCCCCATAACAGTGTCTCATAGATACACAACCTGAGGCCCAGAGCAGTACAATTTCATGTTTAATAACATACAATCAATGCATCTACTCTTTGTACAGATTCCCAGGTTTTGCTGGGTACCCATTTCAAGACTCTGATTAGGTTTCCTAAGTTCCAGAATAGTTTATACATCACTATTGTTGTAAGCATAAAGTAGGTGTCCGGTTTTAGAGAAACACACAGGTTAACAAAATGATCCATGGCTTCTTATCAAAGTCTAGAAACAGTCCCAACGCTAATGACTTACACAACTTCTGTGAACATCCTGTTCGGTCTTAGCGTACACCTCAGACAGATCACCATTCAGAATGACTTCAGCTAACGAGTTCACCAGGGGCGCATGATGTATAATTAGGAAGACCTGGTGAGAAAGAAGAAATGGGATTTGCATTAAAGTATGCAGTCTTTCAACCTCTTCCTTCCTTGATCTACAGTGATGCTGGGCTATACAAGCACCATATTAAGCATCAATCCCTGTGACACAAAATCCATAGAATGGGTCACATTTAGGAGAAATCAGTTACACGCTTCTCCTTCTAGGGTTGGCCCCCCCTTCATTCAGACCGTTGCCTATTTGGCTGGCGGCTCTTCGGCGGAAGGAAATGCATTAAAAGCAAGACTGTCCCTCATGGCTGGGTGAGGCCAAATCCAGCTGAAGTGAAGCAATGTGGGAAAGGAGCAGCCAAACCAGCACACTCTTTCCTCTCCACAGGCATTTCAGTGTCAAATTTGATTATGAAAAGATTAGAAGGCACTGGTCCAATGCTTTAGTTCTACGGGAAGAAGGGGCTGGCAAGTCTTGTTCCAATCAAGGACTTGGCAAAGGGTCAGCTATACAGAGATCCACCACTGGAATGAGCGCTGACCCCTGCGGTGGGCTTCGGCACACCAGAATTCCATAGCAGTACGGGTAGGTGTGGAAACTGTGGGGAAGAAAAGCCACACAAGCCAGAGACAGAACTAATTGTGCCAGGATGCAAAATCAGAAGGCACTGGGCCATCTGGAATGGCCCCAGTACCCCACCCTGTTGCCCAATATTCAGAGGAATGGATTTAGGAATCAGAGTATTCAAAACTGCCTCACAAAGCTGGTTCAGACACACCTGCTACTTTGCTTTAAAATGGAAAGGCAAACTGGTATAGCATAGTGTGGGGTTATATTTGTATACAGAAAGGGTGTGTGCACACATTTGTATTTGTTTTGATATATACATGGAACAAAGTTTCTAAATCTTGGCACTATTGTCAGACCATCATCCTTTGTTGTGGGGTTGTACTGTGCACTGTAGGATATCTGGAGGCATCTCTGGTCTCTACCCACTAGATGCCAGTAGCACAGCCCCACCCCAATTATGACAACTAAAATGTCTCCAGACATTGCCAAAGGTCCCCTGTGGGGAGAAGGGATTTGAGAACCCCTGGAAGAGAATATTTCTGGAAGGAAAGAGGGGCTGAACAAAAGTAGAAAGGAACCTTGGGCCCTGGCCAGTTTGGCTCAGTCATCAGAGTGTCGGCCCAAGGACTGAAGGGTCACGGGTTTTATTCTAGTCAATGGCATGTATTTGGGTTGCAGGTTCGATCTCATGCCCCAGTAAGGGTCATGCGGGAGGCAACCAGTCCATGTGTCTCTCTCACATCAATGTTTCTCTCTCCCTCCCTTCCACTCTCTCTAAAAAGCATCCTTGGTGAGGATTAAAAGAAGAAGAAGAAAGGAACCTTAGTTTTTATCTGTTAGAACTTTTTAACTTATATTTAAAAAATATATACATACTATTTTTAAAAATAAAGCAAAGGCAGAAACTGGAATACTGGCTGCCTCTGGGCAGTGGAACTGGGTGCCTGGGGGTTCAGGGGTCAGAGGGAGACCTTTCCTTACATGTCATTTTGTATTGTTTGAATAGGATAAATATATTGTTCAAAATAAATAAATACAATTCAAATTAAAGGTATAGGCAGAATAGCCAAATGTGGGACCTACTTACCACCTAAAAAAAAAAAAAAAAAGCACATTTACTATCATAAAGACTATATAGTTTGAGACATGAATCCACCCATGTCCAGGGCTGTGCAAGGTATTCAACTGTTAGCAATTATGAAGATGAGGAAGGTAAGTTTTCTTACTTTCATCATGGCCAAATTATTTCTTATCTTCACCATGGCCAAATCGTTATTCATCACGGCCAAATCAAACCCCAATCACTGAGTTCATTCATTCCACAAATATCTATTGCGCAGTTGTGTGAATGTGACCTTCATGATCATTTAGTCAGTCCACATTCACTGAGCACCTATTTAGGCCCACCAGACAAAGGCCAACTGATTCCTGCCTATGGCCACACACAAGGCTCATTCCTTCCTGGGCTCTGGATAGAGAAAAGGGCAGAGCCAGGCACCGCATAGTGCCTGGAAGTGTCTGCAGGCCAGACGTGAAAAGCTGGGCCAGCCTATCTGCACCACACTATCATCACAAGTGGCAGTTTCATTTCAGCAGGACGAATCTTCTCATACTAAATTAATCGTATTAATGTGAATTTTCTTGGTTTTGTGGCTGTGCTTGTAAAATAACTGGTAAAGATGATTTGATGTAGGACTTAAGGACATGGGATTTATACCTGTTCAAGATTTTCACACACTTAGGCAACATTACAATAAAGCTAAATGAAAATGCGGGGGAGGAAGGGCTCTGTTACTGAAGTTGAGGTACACCAAATTACAAACTATGCTTTTTGTGAGATACTGAAACAAGTAATTAGGTTTCTAAGCTGCTGGTCCTGCACTAAGAAACAGGAGGAAAAGGGTTCTCAGAGTAAAGGCGTGGCCTGACCCCTTACTCCTTGGAGGAGACCCTGCCCATGCATTGCCTCAACAGCTGAAGCTTCCTGAGGGTGTGTTCCATGAGATTCCTGTGGCTGAGCATCTGGCCTGCTTGGGTCCTGCCAGACCCCCAGAATCCCAAGCGGGAGATGCTGGTGGATTTGTAATGAGGTGGCGGAAAAAGCTGCCAGGAGAGGCTGGGGTTTGCACTGGGCTCTGTCGTACAGAGGGGCATTCAAAAGAAATCAGCACCAGTGTAGAGCTCAAAGCAAACAGAGCCCCCAGAACGAGACACCAGGAGTGAATAGTGAGAAAGTCACTGCAGATCCTGATCGGCTGAGCTGCTGGGAGGAGGCCAGGCCTGCATCTCTCTCCTCAGGCCAATGGGAGACACCTCAAACTCAAAACGGCCCAGCGACCAAGTTAGAAGGACATTCTCTCAGCAAAGCAAATAAATACCTGCGCCATTTGCAGAAGTGAGAACAGAGCTCTGGTCAAACGTTTGACTACTTGACAGTCTAATGAGATGGCCTGAAAGTCTGGACTGCTTGTAATAAAAATATTTTTAAAGTTATGTAACTGGGTCACCATGGAGTTTTTCCCTTCTTGTAAATATTACATAATTATGAGAAGGAAACACACTTAAGGGGGGAGGCAGACAAATTGGCTCAAGATGCAAATCTGGGAACTGAGGCTGCTACAAGATACCTTCCTGAAGGTAATCTGGGAACCAGAACCATGACAAAAACCTTTAAAAACAGCCTCATTAGTGGAAGTTTGTTAAACCAGGGTCACTATGTGTGTGTGCACAACAGTCCTGCAGTTTGGGGCTTATTTCAAAATGCGTGAATAAGACCCAGACAGTCCACATTTCCAGGGTATTTAGAACACTCCTTGGCTGTTTTGGAAACCTCAATCCCCATGGTAAAACTCAACTACCTAAGTGCCAGCTTAGATTTATTTTTCATTTCTTGTTAAATTTCCATCCACTACCATCAAGATACTGGTACCTCTACACAGTGTCTAGAAAATAGAAACCCCTTTCCTTTCATTATTTTATTTCAAGATGGGGGACAATGAGAGAGAACACAGGGCAATGTGACCTGGGAAATTTCTGAGGGGCAGCAGTGTTCCAAGGCCTCCTAAATGTGGTGGGGACATAGGCAAGTGATCAAACATACCTGTGACAGAAGATAGAGCGAAACTGGCAGGCTGATTTTTGGCCGTTCTCCTCCCTAGTGAAGGATGAGAGAGAGAGAAGTCCGGGTCACACAAGTGAGCAGCACAAAATACATGCAGCCAAAAACCTGTCTGGGAGGAGAGGCACCCTGTCCCCCTGATTTCCTCCAGGACCCTGAGCTATTCTGGCCTGGTGCTAGTCAAAAGTCCACTCTGCAAAAGAAATCTGCAACTTAATCCTGTTCAATACTATTTGCAAGACCATGATTTTTCCACCTGAGAAATCTATCATTAGTCACGGATTAGAGGCTGGACCCAAAACAACTGGCTTCTTAAATTACCAAGAATGTTAATTTTCCCCAGCTGGGCCATAGAAAGCCCAAAGCCCAGCCTGCCAGGAAAGCACCCCTCCCCCCCCTCCCAAGCCTGTTCTCAGGAAGAGCTTTTAAAATGGAGCAGGGAGAAACTGGGGCACTGTCGTCTTGGAAAAGCCCCTCATTTGTACTGAAGTTCAATGAGCTCCAGCTCACACCATCTCTGGGAGGATCTTCAAGACCCTTGTTTTGCTCAGGGAGGTAACTGCCTTGTCCAAGGTCGCAGAGTAAGGAAAGGGAAGAGAGAGAATTTGAACCCAGGTCTGAAAAAGTCACTTCCCATGCTTTCTGTCTGCCTCCCAGAGCTGCCTCTGCTAGACTTAGTTAGGGTTGCAATTTCCTTCCATTTACTTATTTTCAGTAAGAATCTCTATCTTCCATCTCCAAAAAGAAAGTTATACCTACGTGAGACACATCTGCTGAGGCTGAAGACCCTTGCAGATAACCAGATGGCTCCATTGCATCTCCTGATGAGCCCTCTGCCCCTTAACTCTGGGAGGGACTGGGCAGAAGGCCTCCACTCCCTGAAGCAGCATTTCTCATGGGGGAAGCAGAAAACTACCAGCTCAGAATCCCTGGGGGGGGGGGGGTGTTAAATATAGAGATTTCACCCCACACCCACTGGACCAGCATCTCTGAGAGAGGGGAGGACACCTGAGGATGTGCACTTTTAACAGACACTCTCCCCACGAGGGAGTCTGAGCCTAACTGGGGACAGTTATTGCTCTGGGAGCTTTTCTTAAGTGCACTCCATCCCTTCCTGTCCATTCTGTGCAAGTTTTGTGGCTGGCTGGATCTTCTCCAAATCAATTAGCCCTGGCAACTACCAGAACAAGTTACCAAGGATGGGAACACCTCAAGAGAAGGATGCACAGAAGCCAAAAACCTAAATTTGTAGAGGTTTCCTGTTTCATTCTGATGTCAGTATTCTTTCTCATTCACTTTTCCAGTTTTACAGTCTACCCCCTTCTCTCCCCCACACCCCCACCCCCACTCTCAGGAAGTAAGACGAAAGGAAAAAGAAAACCAGTATGCTTTAAAAGGAATCTCTTGCAGGTTCAAAGCCTGGGCCCCTTGCAAAGCTCGACTGTTCTTTCCCCTTCTGAAGACAATCTTCAGCCACAGGAGCAATGGGGTTAGGCCCCAGACCCACCTTGTCCTGGTTCTCCAGTGAGTACACGTAGAGGGGCAGGAAGAGTCTGTTGAGCAGGTGGTCCGTGAGTACATCATTGAGGAACTCACAGTTTATGATCAGGATGTCATTAAGGTAGTGCAGGTGGTCCAGGTGCTCTGCCACCAGGTCACTCAGTTTCCCCCGATTCCGGTGCCTGTCAATAAAAATGACAACCTGTCTGAAATCCAAAGCTCAGAGCCCTTGGGCCTAGAATCAATGGCCTGAGACTTAGGTCACTGGGGCATATTCGTTCAACAAATATCTGAATTCAGATACAACAAATATCTGAATTAATTTCAAAAGACACTTATTCTGGCCCTACTAGTGGGATACACAGAGGGAAAAGGAGCAGGTCTACTCTAATTGATCAATTTTAGGGGACTTCTGGGGTCCCCCACCATCTGGGGACTTCAGTATAACTCCTCCCCCCACCACAACCACAAAACAAGATAGGTAAACAAAGCAAAAATCAGCTAAGCTCTCAGCAAGCCATTTCACAAGAGTAGCCACTAGCCAATGTGGCAAGATCCCCTGGCTCCCAAGATAAGCAGTATTAATGGAGCAATAAATCCGTGCTAATTAAAATGCTCCAGAGGAGTTCTGAAGAGAAAAGCAGGCCTCAGCAGCTGTGTGGGACCCACTGGCCCTGACCATATGTGGGGCAGAGTGCAAAGACAGGACATCCCACCCCAGGCCCCAGGAGGTCTCTGTCTTCTTGCAGTGAAGCAACAGGCATGCTAGTTGGGCCCCACTGTTAAGTAAGTCTCAAGCCCGAAATGGCAGAACCCCTAAGATAGCTGGTGGGCACACTTTCCCCACCTCCCAAGCAGCATCTGTTGCAAAGAGCAATCTAGATAGGGTGAGACATTTTGTTTGTATGATGGGTATTACTCAAATAATAGCCATTTTAGAAGACAAAAAATTGAAGAAGAAAATAAAAGCAAAAAAAGAAAAAAATCAAAGTCTCCTATAGCCCCACCACTAACTGATGATATTTTGGGACTTGTGTCCCTACATTCTGTTTTTCCACATTCTGTCTCCCTATAGTCACACCTAAGATGCAAATGTTATACAACTATCCATCTAACCATTTCTATTTTTTTTAAAAATAAGTAAAATCGAGATCAATTTTGCTTCTTTTACATAATTTTGGATACTTATTCCTTATTATACTTTAATAAAGTATTTAGTAAATATTTATGGCAAATACATGTTATAAAGCCAAATAGTATAATGAGTACCTAAAAACCCTGAGACCTAGAACATTTATATACAATGTTTTACAAGCTTTTATCCCACTTAAGATACTTAGAAATTTTTCTTTAGTAGAATATGTAATGCACTTTACTCTTTAAACCTTTACTTTTAAAAACTCTTATCAAAGTAATATATGCAGATGGGCTTAAAAATCAAGTAGTACTGATAAGCTGATAATAAAGAATAGCAATGGCTGGCCGAGTCTCCCAAATCCCTGACCACTCTCCAGAGGTGGTTTTTAACTCTTGTAGTTGTTTCTGTGGCTAGTTCCTCCCATATTTCTATAAAATCTGTGAGGACCTCTATTTTGTCACTAAGCCATTATGCACTACATTATGACAGAACCCTTTGTGTTCCCTCTGTTCCTTCCCCTCAATAGTCATTGGCAACTGGTGTTGACATTATTATAATTGTTTACTAAAGAGACAAACAGAGGACTAGGGGTTCATTTTCTTGCCTGTATAACCTTTTCTTCTTTCTGGAGTTCAGTGCCTCCATTATATTTCACATCTACGACTGTTCATATGGGTCCTTAGGTTCCCAAATGCTCCATCAGATTTCCCAACTACCTATCCTTGCTTCTTTCTCAATACGAGACCTACCAATCTCTCTCTCTAGCCCCTCCCCCTAGGAGACCTCCTTCTGGAGTCTCTTTATCGTCCTGACCCCTTCTAGTTATGCCTCGCACCAGTCTGTGAAAAGCTGTAACTCCGAGACAGTGGTTCTCAACTGATGGCAGTTTTAAAGGAGACATTTGGCAATGTTTGGAGACATGTTTGGTTGTCACAACCGGAAAAAGGGTGCTACTGGCATCTAGTGGGTTGAGGCCACTGAGGCTGCTAAATACCCTACAATGCACAGGACAGCCCTACCACAGGGAATTAGCTAGTTCAAAAGACCAATAGTGCAGAGGCTGAGAAATCCTTCTCTGGAACTTCTATTCATCACTCTGGGGCTCAAATTCCCATCTTAGTCTTTTTTAAAAAAACAAAAACGAAAACAAAAACCAGATACACTGAGATATAATTCACATACCATAAAATTCACCCATTTAAATTACAAAATTTAATGGGGCTTAGTATACTTGTAGAGTTATCCAACCATCATCACAATCAATTTAGAATGTTTTTACTCCCTCCCCTCAAAAAAGACCTATACTCATAGCCAGTTACTCCCCATTTCCCCCACAAACCTCCCTGGAGAGTCCTATCAAACCACTAATCTACTCTCTGTTTCTATGGATTTGCCTATTCTGGACATTTCATATAAATGTAATCATACAATATGTGGTCCTTTGTGTCTGGCTCCTTTTACTGAGCATAATGCTTTCCAGGTTCATCCATGGTATAGCATGTTTGAGTCCTTCATTCCATTTCATTGCCGAATACTATTCCATAGTATGCAAATACCACATTTTGTTTATCCTTTACCAGCTGACAACATTTTCGTCTTTTTACCAGCTGCCTGTCACCCCATCTATAGGTGTACTGAATTTACTAACCCTAATCCTCTCTGGGAGGTATTTGAATTGTTCCAATTTTCCATTATTATAAAAAGTAGACGGGTGGAACCTTTTAGAATATGGAAATCCATATTCTGCCTACACATGGGCAAGTAAGTTTTGAGCTAGTATTTACTTTTTCTCAATGAAAAGAAAATTCTCCCCTAACCACTATGTCTACCTAACAAGCATCCCCGAGGTCACTTACTCCTCATCAGTCTGCACACAGTTATCAAGTTCGATCACGTGGCTCCCGATGAACCAGACCAAATTGGAGAAGTATGGGACAGCAGTTTTATCTCTGATATAGTGTAGCATGGCCTGGTTATCCACTGAGGAAATTCACAAAAGAAGAGAAAAAAAGAGTCAAACTACCAAAAATAATTTGGGGCAGATTAAAAAAAATAATAATGGAAAAACCAGCTACTATAATCTGAATCTTTTCTATCTTTCCTGAAAATACTTGAAAATTATCTTAGTCATAAAACTATACTTATCAAGCCAGTTCTTATGCTATTTTTAATGATTAATAAAATTAATTAATTGGGTTAAACATTAATTGTACATTAGAAAGCCTACTTATCAGTGGTGCATTTAGCTAGACTACAGTGAAAGTCACACCATTCTCAAACAAGTTTCCTGTGTTTACATGTAATGATAAGTTAAGAAAGAGAAAAATCAGAGGTTAATAACTTACATGACACTGGAATAAGGAACACAGGACTCGTCATTGAAGGAAAGGCAAAAACAGACAATGGTTAACAGGGTTAGGAACTGGGATGGTGAGATAGCCGCTCAGAGGGAGAGAGCTAGGGCAGGAGGCATCTAAACCGAAAGACATAGGTTAGAAGAGAACAAGAAAAAAACAGATAACAGGAGGCAGCAGAACTGCAGTCTGGACCAAGTCGCAAACTCAGAAGCCTGCCGAGCTGGCCAATGACTCAGTGAGTGAAGCCAGCAAGCCTGGCCTGTGAACTAGGTGGGAAACATGACCCCACAGCGGGCAGCTGCTTCTCAGCACCAGCTCACCTGCCCTGCAGGGCTGTGGGTCTAGAATAGCCAAATCTACATTTTCAAGTAAAAAATACAGACCTTTACCTAGGATCTTCTAATTTTTAAATAATGGCAACTATATTATTTTTTTAAAACATATCTAAGCCAATTAAAACCTGTCTGAGGGCTGGATTCAGCCCTCAGGACCTCAGATTACAACCTCTGGATAAGTCCCACTGAGCTCTTAAAAAGGTTCTTCAATTTAACACAATCCCAGAGCTAGGCTGGAGTGAGTCCTTGAGGAGCTCTTGCCCCCTCCCAACTAGGGGTCATCTCAAGTAATAACATCCAAATTTGTGAAGGTCAAAGCCCTTTCGTCCCGAGAAAGCAGTCCCAGCTCCAGTGTGGTGATTACAGGGAAAGTAACCCAGGCTTTAGACAGAGAAGGCATTGCCTTGAAGGGCAATTCCAGGCTGGGACACTTGTGTGCAGTCAGCCTCTGTGCTGGTGTGGGCAGGGAGCTGGGGAAGGCTTTCTCCTGGAGGCAATGATGTGGGCATTAAATACATCTTGAAAGAAAGGAGGAATTTTTTGGGCTTTGCAGCAGGCTGAGAATACAATATTGCCCTCTGCTGTTCATGACGTGAAATGCTTTTATACATTCTTTAAAGATAATACACTCACTGGAAGTGTATTTTATAGGCCAAAACACAAAAATTTAAATCTAACTTTTAAAAGACAGCTTTGGTCCTGGCCAGTTTGGCTCAGCGGTTAGTTGGCCCTTGGACTGAAGGGTCACGGGTTCAATTCTGGTCAAGGGCATGTACTGGGTTGCAGGCAAGATCCCGGCCTTGGTCGAGGTCATGCAGTAGTCAACCAATCAATGTGTCTCTTTCATATCAATGTTTCTCTCTCTCTCCCCCGCTCCCTCCCTTCCACTACCTCTAAAAACCAATGGGAAAAAAATATATCCTCAGGTGAGGATTAACAAAAAAATAAAAATAAAAGACAACTTTGTTTTATCTATCACATGGCTGCTACAAGTCCCACATGTGCCTCTCTTAGGACACTACTACTTTTGTGTTAGCACTGGGACTTGAACTGCAGAACTGAGTACGCAAGGAAAAGACAGTGGCATAAAAATTTCTGTAAGGGACCAGCTAAATGTTCAATGACTACAAACCTTTTGTGAGACAAGCAACCACAGTTATAATAAATGAGCTCCTGAAAGCGAGCACTAGGTGTCAAGGTAGAAATCATAAGGAAAACTTACCTTTGTAGACGTTCAAAGTGATGGTTCTTACAGCAATTCTAACCATGCTTTCAGGGTGATTAAAAAATTTGATGGCTTCTGTGTACAGGGCAAAGTCATTAGTGTGCTAAAACAAAAGAAGTACCAAAAAGGAATTACAAACTCACAAGTCAGGCCTGCTCCCCACCCCAGCTTTCTGAATCCTATCAAAGACTTCAGTAAAAAAACAAAACAAAGTATGTTACCAACATGGATGTTAAGTTAGTGGTTCACTCCCAATGGGGAATATGGGAAGGGATGGGGAGGGGAGACCATGGAAGAAATAGAAAAAGGTCCAGACCTGGGCTCATGATTTGTTCTACCACTTCTTAGCTGTGTGATGTAATATTTCTAAGCCTCTGTTTCTTCACCTACAAAATGGGGATAATAATTCCCACTTCATAACTACTGGGATTAAAGATGTTATTTCCAACACAATGCTAACCCCAGACCTGACAGCTAATAACCACTCAGTTGTAATGCTAGTTATTAATGGATACTGCTAAAAAAAAGGGGGGGGGGGGCAAGTATCAAGTTTTACTACATTCAGAATCTCTCTTGGCTATTATATATTCCTCTATTTGGAAATACTAAAAGTATAAACATTATGATAGTGGAGGGGGGGGTCTTAGGAATCTGACATTAAAAAGAGACCATCAGCCCTGGCCGGTTTGGCTCAGTGGTTAGAGCGTCAGCCTGCGGTCCGGAGAGACCTGGGTTCGGTTCCCGCTAAGGGCACGTACTTCGGTTGCAGTTTGTCCCTGGCCCTGGTTGGTCGTGCGGGTGGCAGCCACTCAATGTGTCCCTTTCACATCGATGTTTCTCTCTCTCTTCCTCTCTCTCCCTCCCACTCTATCTGTACAAAAAATGGAAAAATGTCCTCGGGTGAGGATTAAAAAAAAAAAAAAAAAAGAGACCATCAGAACAGGCCCAAAGAGTTCAGAACCACAGAACTTCACTGTTGGAGCCTTAAGAAAAAAAGCACAACAGGATCTGGGCCTAGAACAGAAAGGCGGCACACTTGGCTGCCCTATTTTGGCCAGTTTTCCCCCATGTCTCTGGAGTCAGCTGCAGAACATTCACAGGCAGTGAGGGAGTGGGGAACAAGCCACCTCCAGAAAGGTGACGACTGTCTAATAAGAAAAACACGACTCTGAGCACTAGAGGTCAAGTGTACACTTAATAAGTGGTAGCTATTGTACTGGCCCACATAAAAGAGGAAACCAAGCCCATCTCCAAAATGAGGTTCCTATCACTCCTCTGGTGACCAGCAGGATCTTCTTCCAGAAGCATCATGCTGGCCCCAGAATCCCAGCATCCTGCCCTCCTAGTTGGGTACACAGAAGCCCGGCTACACCAGAGTGGAGGGAGAGTCTGTTCCTCTCTCTAATCTGAACTTTGCAGGTGGGTTTTCTGCCACCTGGGAAAGCCCTTTAGAGAATGCTAATGTCATCTATCTGGTCTCTGAACATGTTTATTGAGCACCTACTATGTGCCAGGCCACACAATGCTGATTTTTTCAATTGCCATACAATTTTTGTGATTGGCAGCTAGTATTTCTTCCCTTTGAGGCCAACTCTTCCCCACTACAAATCTAGACAAAGAAAATCAAGGTTCAGGCCACTGTTGCTGCATCATATGCGAACAGCTAGATGGACTCTGCTCAAACTCAGAGGATATGTTTGGGACTATGGTCTGACTTCAAATATAGGCTGTGTAGCATACGTAACCACCAATCAGAAGACACCTATTATGCAAACAGCAGGTGGCTACATGATAGCTGGCCTCCAAGATGGCCCAATAATCCTGACCTCCTGTATTCACACATTTGTGTCCTCCTCTCCTACACTGAATCAGGGCTGGCCCTTTGCAGCCTAAAGAATACGGCCAAAGTGGTGGTGTGCGACTTCTGAGGCTGGGTCATAAAAGGTATTACAACTTGCTTTGGTCTTAGATCATCTGTTCTGGGGGAAGCCAGCCACCATGCCATGAGGGCCTTCAAGCAGTCCCTGGAGAAGCCTGTGTAACTGAATCCTCATGACAACAGCCAGAACAACTGGCCAGCCATATGAGCAAGCCACCTTAGAAGCAGATCCGCCAACCCTAATCCAGCCTTCAGATGATGCAGCGTAGTCACAAGATACTAAGCCAGAAATGCCTTGCTAAGCCACTCCCAAGTTCTAGACACACTGTGATAAATGTGACACGATTCTGACCAGTGAGACACGAGAAGAAGTCTGTTGGGAGGCTTCCAGGAAAGAAGTTTTTTTGGACGTTAAAGAGACCAGAAAGGGAAGTGATCTCATCAGGCTTTTCAGTAGTGGCATGTGAGTATGTAAGGTTTGGAGCTGCAGCAGCTATTCTGAGACCATGAGGGGCTGAACCTGAGGAAAGATGTAAACTGTATGGTCAGCAGAGCAGGAAGATGGAAAAGCCTGGGTCCTTGATGAATTCATTGAGCCACAGGATGAACCAGACCCAGGACAGCTGGCATCTGTACCTTTTGGTATGAGATAAATTGTCCTTATTGTTTAAGCTACGTTTAATTGTGATAACAGCAGCAATTTATTTATTTAAATTTTTAGTAATTCTCTGAAGGATTACCAGGGATGTTAGCTTGTAAGGAATAGCAACAGCTATGAATTTAGGGAGCCAGGTACATACTGGGTGCTTTGAGGAAATCATATCATTTAATTCAATCCCTGAAAAAAACCTACAAGATATATATTATCATCCCCATTTCTCAGAGGAAGAAACTGAGGCTCAGAGGACTAGGATTTCTCTAAGGTCACACAGCAGGGAAGTGGCAAAACTGGGTCTGACTGGAGTTCCTGTTTTTCCCACAGGGTAACACAACCCCCAAGTCAACTTCCAAGCACTTCTCCCTGCCAAGTATACTGCTGTCAGCTTCACCAACTGAATTTTACATAAAAGATGGAGAGGTAACTTATTAAAAACACAAAATTTAAGCATGCCAAGGCCAAGCAGTGTTGCTATGAAAATCAGGAAAGAGTAAGCACATAAGTGCTTTGTAAACAGACAGAAGGCCACCCAGACAGAAGGTGCTGCTCTGACCAGCTGGCTCTGTATCCAACACACCCCTCTGGCAGTCACTTACCTCATTGTAAAAAAAATGAACAGTGTGGTTGTTGAGTTTTAACGAAAGTGTTTTCAGGAATGATATATAATATGCCATAATCTCTTCATCGGAAAAGTCAAACTTATGGACAATGATAGAATTTACATAGTTATTAGAGAGCAAGTAATCTAGAGGGAGAAAAACAAAACAAACAAACAAACAAAAAAAAAACAGGTTAGTTCGTGCTGAAGAAAAGGACAAGCAGAGAAAGTCAGGTAACAAACAGATGACCACGTGAAAATACCCAAACCAGTCAAGCTTCTGGTGGGTGAGGTTAAACAAGCAAACAGGGAACAGCTTAACCTTTAACCAGCAAAGAAATCAGCCACTATGCATAGTCACTAAACTTTCAAAAGCAATGCCAGAGAAAGGCCCGGGTTACCCCTTTCTCCCACACCAAGCAGAAAAGAACAGTGGAACATTTTCTTCATCGCAGGCACAATTCAACACAGAGCCGGGGGTAGGACAGATGAGTTGATGTGTGGGCATTTCACAAATGACCCACGAATGAGGGTAAAAAGCACGGTATTTATAAAAAGCTGCCCCATTTTGCTATCAAAAGTTACCCAACCATCCCTGAATGCCACAAAGGGCCTCACACACATGGTATTTTTTCCTCCCTATATAGCAACATGATTTCATGAAAGTCACTTTATGCTGAACCTCCACGACATGCTCGGCACCAGGCTGAGTGCTTTAAACTAGAATTATCACAGCGATACTGCAGAGTAGGTCTCATTCTTCCCATTTTGCAGATGAGTAAAAAAAGCTCAGAGAGGTCGATTAATTTGCCCCAGGAAACAAGAGACGGAAAGTTGCAGAGATGCGAATCCGAACCAAGGTCCCATGTCAAAGTCTGTGTTCATATCATCACTGATGGGGGCCAACAATGATGAGGGCCTGGAAGCACAAGGGCCAACTGAAGAATGGCTACCCCCTCCAAGCTCCCAGCCCCCGGCCCCTGCAGAAATGCAGATTTATCATGGCGAGAGCTTCCAATTATGCAAGGGAAACTGGGTAACACAGATTTTAATACTGCATCTCCTGATTTTGTAACGTTGGCCACTAGATCAACTAATTTTCAAAGCAGTGCTAGCCTGCAAAAACAGGTCTGTAGACCAGCTGTGGCCCATGGGCCTCTAGTTTGTGACCTTGGCATTAGGCTCTTATTGGACATGTTCTCCTCTAAGTCCTCACCAGCCACCCTTCAAAGCAGGCTCTGCTGTCTGTCCTCTGGCTGCCAGTCTGTGAGCTCTGCATCATCCCACCTGCCTCCCCACAAGTGGTTAGAGGCAGAACACGATCCACACCTGCACCTACAGGCAGACACATGATGCAGTAGAGTGGAGTGGTTCAAAATCTGGTCCTTAGAGCAGCAGCACAGCATCACCTAGAGCTAATCAGACATGAAGAATCCTGGGCCCCACTCCTGAGCCCCGTCAGATCTCTCAGGGTGGGCTGGGGAGTGTGTGTTAAGAAACCACAGGGCTTCCTATCATCTGGTGTGTGAAAGACACTGGGTGTGAATGTGGACTTGAGTCCATACTGCCTCTGCCACATCCTAGCTGGGTGACCTTGGGTGAACCACTTACCCTCACTACTCCCCCAGTCTCCTTGTCTGAAAACTAAAATAACTACCTTCCTCATGGGGCTGTTGTGAGAATTAAAGATAATACACGAAAAGCACTAAGAACAGTGAGTGCCACAAAGTAAGCACTCAATAATGTTAGCTGCCATTACTCTTATTACCTTCATTTGGAGATTCATAATCTCCACCACCATATTCCCAGAACTGAACACAGTTGCTTTTGGGTGAATCAAAAATAAGCCATTAAGTTATTTGGCATCAAGGAGGTACCTAACTTAGGCCAAAGTATTAATGGAAAGAATCTGGAATCACCAGACACAACACAAAGAGCCATCTGGGAGCCCAGGGCCATGAGAGGCATGGGCCACAGCTGGGTCCTCCTTAGAAGCCAGCTCTTCAGAAAAGCCACTGCATTCAAAGTACGTTGGATATTCTGGCTTTGCAGACAGGCCTTGAATTCTGTAGTCTTAGAATGGCTTTCAAAATTTCCTGATCAGAACAATTACTGAGGCAGATATTGGAGCCTGCTCCAAGGGAGGAGGCAGTGGGTCTGGGCTGGGGGCCTAAGAATCTTATTGTGTTTAAAAATGAGGTTACACATTCCACAAATCTTGAGTGTAGAGCTAGATATACAAGGAAATGTACATATAGATGGATGGTAAGTATACATGTACCTGTGTACTGATAATATATATACCTCACCAATCTTAGGTGTTTAGCTTGATGAATTTTTACAAATATAGACACCATAAGCACCACCCAGATCAGACATAGCATATTTCAAGCTGCCCAGAAGGCTCCTCATGCCCTTGTCCAGCCATTACCCCCCTCTCCAAAGACTAACCCTAGTCTGACTGCATAAATTGGTTTTGCCTGTTCTTGAACTTCATATGTATGAAATCACACTATGCATGCTCCTTGTCTGGCCTCCTTCACTCATCACATCTGAGAATTATCCATGTCGCTGCACGTAGTGGTAAGAGTTCATTCCTTTTTTTTGCTTTGCTATACAGCATTCCGTACTTTGAACAGTTCACTATCTACCCACCTAGAATCTTAACTTGTAACAAGCAGCCCAGGTGATACTGATGCCTAGGGCACTTCTTTTTCATTCTGTCATTCTGGCTGTGGATGGGGACAAATGAGCAGGAGAAGGGACTGTTGAGATGTCATGTTGAGCTTCGTTGTGACTGGTTAGTGGCTTCCGGGCCACCAGAGGCAAAGATGCCAATGGTGGCAGCTTCAGACGTGCAACCATGAGCCTCTGGGCTGCATTCTTGAGCTGGAAAAGCCACATGCTCCAATCATTGCCCAGCGGGGACTTTTCCAGGGCCTCCACAAGATGACTCTGTGGGTGGTGGGGGCCACCATGGGACAGCGGAGGTGCCTCTATTATTCGGCTGGGATTTTTCTCCTACCCCCTCACTGTGTGGCCAACTTTCTGTGGTATTCTTTTATAATAAACTCTGGAGTCTATAAGTAATCTCAGTCTCTCAGGCCTTCTGTCACTTAGGTCACCAAACTGAACAGCAACAGGTGCACTTGTGATATGGCTGCTTGTAATAGTGAAAATCTGGAAACCACCTAAATGCCCACGGTCAAGTTAAACAAGTTATGGCCCGGCAAAATGCAGCTCTTGAACCAAACTAGGTAAGGACGCATGAATGGACAATCACGAGGTTTAACATACAGTGGGAGGTTGGGGGAAAATAAAACAAACAACAAAATGGCATGTGTACACTGAACTGTTAAGGTGAGATTCTACAAAACTTTGGCTTTCCGTGCTTTTGTAGTGTTTTATTGGGGGCGAGGGGTTGCTTTATAATGAGGACATTTTCTTCCCATAATTAGAAAATAAAAATAAAAGCCGAAGTTATCTAATCCTGTTTCTCTTACTCCCATAAATCCAAGTTCTATACAAACGAAGTGACTTATCAACTTTGGTAGGACTTATAACAGTACTCTGGTGAACATCCCATAAAGCTACTGGCATCTGCCTGGGTTTCTTACAGCAGAGCACCCTTTTTAGACAATACATGAAAAGCCATCTGCCAGAAACCCCAGAATTTTAACTGTCCCAACTCCCATCTTTAACACAGTAGCCTGGGCTTAGAGAGGGTTACCACAGAACAGACATTTGGGGGAATGCTAGATTTAATAATAAAACCAACTCTTTTATACACTTCCATCTATCTGCCAGACCCCATACTATGCTCTGCAAACACAATGTCACACTTAATCCTCAAACCACTTCATTCCCCAGGTGCTAGGGTTATCTCCACTGCAGTTCGGAGAGTTTACTCCTGGGAGTACATACAGGGAACATGTGGCAGAACTGGCCTGGGGCCTAGCTGGGTTTGAGTCCAGGGTCTGCACCACAGAGCCTGGTCTTCCCCTCTCAGAGTTTTCAAAACCACACATAATTCATGTTCAGTGTAACAAAAGCTAGTAACAAGGGAAACCTCTAAGGGAGGGTGAGTCAACTCCCATTAGTTAGTCAGTGTAAGGAGTCTCCTGGAGCAGCAGCACCATCTAGTGGTCATTTCTGAGAGTCACTATTCAACGGCTCTTTCCTACCTCTTCCTCCTTCCCCAAAGGAATACCAATGATACCATCTCTACCTCCTTCCACCCACTAGAAACTATTTTCAAATTTATCTTGGGCCAGGCCAATGTGGCTCAGTGGACTGAGTGTCCTCCCATGGACTGAGAGGTCCTGGTTCGATTCCCAGTCAGGACACATGCCCAAGTTGTGGGCTCAGTCTCCAATGGGGGCATGCAGGAGGCAGCTGACTGATGTATCTCTCTCATTGATGTTTCTATCTCTCTCTCCCTTCCTCGCTCTCTAAAAAATCAGTTAAAAGAAACATATTTTTAAAAAAAGATCGAAGAGACACCAGGAATGCCTGGTAGTACAAGTATTCAACTCTCATCTTCCATAACAAACCTATCTTGGGTACCTAAAGCCTGCCTCTGACACAGACATTCAGTCACTTGTCTTCTCTTTTCTACTTTCTCTAAGTACAGCATAGAGCTTGGTGTGGTCATCTTGGAATAATACAACTAGTGGTCAAGCATGGAAGATTAGGAGCTACATCAGGGTTCCTCACCCTCAGAACTGTTGACATTTTGGGCTATATAATTCTTTGTTGTGGGGGCTGTCCTGTGCATTACAGAATGTTATGCAACATCCCTGGTCTCCACCCACAAGATACCAGTAACAACTCTGCCCCCTCCCTCCCCAACCACCACCATTTTTACAACCGAGAATGTCTCTGGACATTGACAAATGCCTGCTGGGGGCACAATCACCCCCATTTAATGACCAGTGAACTAACTCACCTGAGCTAAACCTCTTCTCAATTTTAGCCTTGTCAGAGCTGTCACCTTGGGTCAATGTCTCAAAATGAGTGTTAAATAAGGGCAGTGACAGCATTTGCCTGTCAGGGAAGGTTGTTTCAGATGAAGAACCAGGTGCTTAGTGAGGGCAGGGAATAAGCTCTGAGTTAGTTACACATGTGCCAGGCAGGCAGCTGCCAAAGCCCACATCCCACATGCTCTGTGACTGAGTTCTTCCTCCCCTGCTGTTTCCAAGGCTTGTTCTATTGGCAGATTGACTCCCAACTCTTTAGTAATAAATTATAAACAAGAAATGCAAATACCCCAGAGCCACTCAGCAGTAGAGAACCCTCCCTTAGCTCTTCACAGCACCACTACACAGAGATAAACATGATGTTACGGACTGAACTATGTGTCCCCAAAATCCCCATGTTGAAGCCCTAACCCCCAATGTGACTGTATTTGGAGATAGGGCCTTAAGGAGGTGATTAAGGCTAAATGAGGTCACAGGATAGGCTACACTGATATCCTTATGAGAAAGGGATGACATATCAGAACTCTGTGTGTGTGTGTGCACACAGAGGAAAGACCACATGGGACACAATGAGAAGGCAGCCATCTGCAAACCAGGAAGAGAGGCCTTACCAGAAACCAACCCTGAAGGTACATCTTGGATTTCCAGCCTCCAGAAAATAAATTTCTGTTGTCTAAGCCACTCAGTCTGGGGTGCTTTGTCATGGCAGCCCAAGCACACTAAGATACACAGAAAGTACAGACATTTGAAAAACAACACAAAGCCACGTTAAACTATACGCTGCTGACGCTCAGCAGTGCAGAGGCAGGTGTCAAGGATTGTCCTTACAAAGTGAGGTCTCATGACTGATATTCTCAAAGAGGATGTTCAAGGTCTGCAACAGCTGAACGCACACATAGCGGCCTGATTTCTGCCGTAGGATGTTCAAGAAGAAAACAAACATGTTCTTCTCCAGGAAGAAGCTGGGGAGAGAATGGGAAAGCGTCAATGGTTTGTTTCCACAGCAGGAAATCCAAATCATCCTCTGGGTCCATGCAAAGCACATGTGTGTATACCGCTCACCCCCAAAGGCATTTGCAAAGCAGCTGGACCACGCTACCTGCACAGCCTCAGCTTCCTGTTATCCAGCTTTCATGATGCTGGACAGGCAAATACCACTTTCAAAGCTCTCTTCCCCAAATTTGAGAACAGTGCTGATTCTGGAAGCAGTGATATACTAGATTTCTGACAGAAGGGGAAACATCTTGACCTACTAAATGGTTACACAGTAATCTGTGCTTATGAATTTGGTAAGCAGCAGTTTTCTTTTTCTTTTTTTAATGTGTTTATTGATTTTTTAGAGAGAGAGGAAGGGAGAGGGAGAGAGAGAGAAACATCGATGAGAGAAAGAAGCATCAACATCTATCGGCTGCCTCCTGCACGCCCCAAACTGGGGATCGAGCCCACAACCTGGGCATGTGCCTTGACCAGGAATCAAACCAGTGACCTCTTGGTGCATGGGTCAGCGCTCAACCACTGAGCCACACCAGCAGGGCAGTAAGTAGCATTTTTCATCAAATATTTTATATCCTTCGTTTTCCTTACTAAGCCTCTTTCCTTTGCCCTTCATGTCTTTGAGAATTAAACAACAATGGGATTATTAAGGGTTTTGGTTTCCAAATTGTCAAGTTTATAATTTCCATATCTGGGGAAAAAGAATGGGAAGGAAATAGAAGATGCTAACATGGTGGTAGGACCCTAGCCACTCCCTAAGTCTGTGTTTGCCTTTCTTGTTCTGGACAGGACATATGTCTGCATGCAGCCCGGGGCACTGACATTAAACTGTAACACTGGCTCTTTTCTTTTAGTCTTGAAAAGGAGAGAACCCCTGATGTCTTTTTTTAAAGGAAAAAAGTGATAGTTCTAGTTATGTATTCTCTGGATTCAAGCTAAGAGCTCCAAACAAGTCACTGCAGTAACGTGTCTGCTGGTTGACTTCGTTTTGGTGACTCTTTCCCATCGATTATCAGCTCCACGGTAGCAGGATTATGGGCTGTGTAACTTCTGTTTGAACCCATGACAGGGTAAATGAATGAGTAAATTATCTAAAAAAAGATCCCTAAAATCTTTTCCAACTCTGATTCTGGGAGCCATTCACACTGACCCCCGGAATATTCCTATCATTTGACCTATTTTGTTTATCTTGCCTACCAAGGATCACTCAACAAGTTCACTGCAGGACAATGATGACCAATTTGGGAACTTGTTAAAATGCCTGTATCTAGATTTTGCCCAGAGATCTATACCCTAGGTCTAGCATGAAGTCCAAAAGCCTAGATTTTTGAAAACACCCTGGAGGAGTAGGGAGGAGGCTCCTTGGAAAAATGACTAATTCTAGGGCTAGGGCAGAAAAACACAGACGATGATCCTGGAGCATCTTATAGTACCAGAAAGTGAGGAAGTGCTCAAAAACAAAAGGATAGAGGGGTGTCAAAGGACACAGGAACTAACCTGAAAGAACTTCCAATGCCTAAAGCTGGAACCAATTCAGCAACAAAATAATAACAGAGTATTGGATTATAATCCAAAGTATAAAATAAATATCCATGAGTTCATATTGATATAAACAAATAATTGAACAAATACATAAATGGGAAGAAACATCTTCCATGCAGAAGAATTTCAAATAGTATATGTAGATACTACCCGCTTCCAGAAGGTAGAGCTTAACTCCCAGGTGAGATAGGTACTCCTCAAAACTGTCAGGGTCATGAAAAATAAGGGAAGACTAAGAAGCTATCACAGACCAGAGAAGAATGGGAAAATGTGACTACTAAATGCACTGTGGGAGCTTAGATTGGGATCCTAGAGCAAAAAGAGGATATTAATGGAAAATCTGACAAAATCCAAATCCAGTCTGGAGTTTACTTAATAGTTAAGTACCAATGTCAGCTACTCATATTTGACAAATGCACCCTGGTAATCTAAGATGTGAACAATGGGGGATGCGGGGGGAATGGCATATGGGGACTTTCTGTACTATCTTCATAACTTTTCTATAAATCTAAAACTACTCCAAAATAAAATTTAAAAAATGTATTAAAAACAACTTTTCTTGGGGACTCTGTTAGGCAGCCATTGAAAAATCACTGGGCCCCTAAGAGCTTGGGAGTTTTTTAGCTCACAGATGGACTAAGAAAGTCCACTCTAGTAAAGAAGAACACAGTTTCTAAGCTTTAACCCAAGGGTCTCTCTCATTTCCAAAAAACAGCTACCAACCAACCAATTCCCCATGAAGCCTTAAAGGAAGCTAATCCTGTTCATAAGCAACACCTTACTTTATTACTCTTGTTGCCCTTTGGGGATCATGGTCAAGGTTACAGGTTTGCATTTTCCACAAGTAACTTTATCCTAATAACCTTACTGATGAAAACATAGAGCTATCCAGAAAATCAGGATATCTAATAAGAAGCCATGTTAAAAATGAAATACCTTTATTTCTTTATTTTTATTTTTTATTTTTTATCCTCATCTGAGGACATTTTTCCATTTTCTGTTCAGATAGAGTGGGAAGGAGAAAGAGGAAGAGTGAGAGAAACATCGACGTGAAAGGGACACATCGAGTGGTTGCCACCCACACAACCCAACCAGGGCCGGGGACAAACTACAACCGAGGTACCCGCCCTTAGCGGGAACCGAACCCGGGTCTCTCTGGAGCGCAGGCCGACGCTCTTACCGCTAAGCCAAACCGGCCAGGGCGTACCTTTATTTTTTCAAGTGGTCTTAAAAATGGTCTCAATACTTAAAATTGAGATTATTTTATATAAATATAAAATCTGGCGGTTGTCATAATCCAAATTCTTCTGCACTCAGACACTGAGACAGGTCTATTGGGGAAGTAGTTCATGGTTTGTAGCCTTTGCTTTTTAACTGTTCAACAAGACACTTTCATTTTTTTTAATAATCTTCACAAGAGGGATATTTTTCCATTTATCTTCAGATAGAGGAGGAGGGAGGGAGGGAGGAGGAGGGGGAGAGCAACATCGATGTGAGAGAGACACATCGACTGGTTGCCTCCAGCATGACCCCAATCCAGGCTGGGGACAAACCGCAACTGAGGTACATGCCCTTGGCCGGAATGAAACCCGGTCTCTTTGGTTCATGGGCCGACGCTCTAACCGCTGAGCACCCAGTAAGGGCGAGACACCTTTTTATTTTTTTTAAATGAACTGCTAACCTTTCTTATTGCCTAGTCTATACAAGGCACTAGATAGGAAACTTTCTTTCCTTTAAAGATGAGGAAACTGAGGCTGGCCTAAGGTTGCTCATCTGGAAAAGTATGAGAATAGGGACAAACCCTTCTATGGGCTCTGGCACAAGGCGCTGCTTCAACACTGACCAGCTGTGTGGCCGTACACATAAATGGGGACAACAGGGCCTCTACGCTGGAGTCACCGGGAGATGTAGGGAGATTATCTCATCAAAAGCTCAGCACTGTCCCTGGCCCATCAGTGAACACAGTAAATGTTTGCCCTTAGTGTCTCTCCCAGTTCACTTAGAGTCTAACTATCCAGGAAACTGTCTCCTTCCTTGGGGTTGATAATCAGACACTGCTGGAAAAATTATCCCTGATATTTTCAGATTTTCTAGAGACTCATTTCCATAACTTCCCCATTTTCAGTTTACAGTGTTTCAGAGATACAAACAGAGATACAGATACTGTGCAAGACCAAACTGGCGTCAAATTATGACATCATCAGAAATAATTCATAATATGCATTTAGAAAAATATTCAAAGTCAGAGGAAAAAAAGTTAAAAAACATTAGAAACCCTTACTCAAACACAGAGCTGTCATTCTGATCTCCCCAAATTAGGATCTCGGTAATAGAACGGATGGTCTCCACTAGCAGGTTCCGGTTCTGTTCTGTGACTGTGGTGTTTTTGGTCAAAACGTGGTACAGATACCTGAGAGAAAGTAAAGTAAAGATTACCAACTGAAATGAAAGCCAGGCTCAATGACCATTAGCAATATTTGAGGGCTGTGCTTTTTCCGATCCAGTTAGCACAACTGCCATTCAGATGAGAGAGAACTTACCATTCAAGAAAAATAGCAGACAATGCTTCGAAGCATTAAATAACCAGGGACACACCAACCCAAACTGAGACAAGAGAATGGTCAAGTCCTTGAAGACAGCCATCCTCAAACCTTAGTGTGTAAAAAAATCACGTGAAGAACTGGATAAAGTGGGGATATGGGAGCCCACCTGGAGGTTCAGATTCAGGGGGACTGAGGGAAGACCAGGCATTGCCTTTTTCACACACTCTCCAGGTCATTCTGATTCTAGTGAAGCAAGTAGAGACACATGGCTCAAGTCTGAATGCTTAACGTAAGACCTGCATGAGGTGGAGTCACAGCTTAGGAAGGGTGGGTCCCAAAGCCAGGGCCTGGGATAAACATCATGTGCAATCACATTACCCTTGGATTGCCCACAATTCCCCATAAAGTTCAGATCGCCCATCAGAACTGATGGCTCACATGAAGTGGGTTGCTTGCAGGACACTGATCTTATCTGCTGAGTACAGATTGTTGAATTCACCAGGTCAAGTGGGGTTGAGACTATGACATGGTCCTGGAAGCCTACACTGCTCCAGACCTAGGCCGGCTGCTGGGACAGAGACAGGAAGGCCCAGGCCCTGAATCTCTGAGGCCAGTCCTGAGCACTGCTGAGTCCAGAAGCCTGGTCAGATGACTTGGGATCGCCATCTAACACAGCTTTTAAGACATGGCATTGCTAGGACCCCAGACTGAGGTAACTTGAGCTGTCATGAGAGCCTCAGACTTGGGAAGGCAAAGGGGATACCAAGAGTCACCTTCCAACTTTTTTTTTTTTATCCTCATTTGAGGACATTTTCCATTTTTTTTGTTCAGATAGAGTGGGAGGGAGAGAGAGAGGAAGAGAGACAAATTGACGTGAAAGGGACACATTGAGTGGCTGCCACCTGCACGACCCAACCAAGGCGGGAGACAAACTGCAACTGAGGTACACGCCCACAGGCCGTGTTTGAAGTTGAATGCCTTTGCATATATTCATGGCTATTTGAATATCTTTTGCAAGGTACCTGTGCAAGTCTTTTGCCCACTTTTTTATTAGGTAGAGTACCTTTCTCTTATTTATTTGATGGAGTTCTTTATATATTCTGAGCACAGATCCTGTATTGGATATACATGTGGCAAATATTTTCTCTGAATGTGGCTTATCGTTTCACTCTTTTTATAGTTGTCTTTTGATGAGTAGCAGTTTTGTTTTTTTTTTGGTACGTGCCCCTAGCGGGAACTGAACCCAGGACTCTTTGGTCCGCAGGCCGATGCTCCAACTGCTGAGCCAAACCAGCCAGGGCCCTTCTAACTTCTTTATGGCCCCCTTCAGTTTGGTGATAGGGGCTGGTAAGAGCAAGGTAGGGATAAATTAGATAGGACCGTCCCATCAAAAACTCTCTAAAAATGTGTAAGATATAAGGTGTAGAATCTTTCAGAGGGAACAATAAGCAGCAACCTGCTATTTAAGGGGTCTGGGTTTAAATTTAAAATTGCATACAACTTCTACCACGCAGTAACTAGAATAGCCCTCCAAAAACAGAAATCTCCAACACCTGTGCCCAAATCTACAGGCAGAGTGGATGCCAGTTTCCCTCTGGGATAAAGTAACTTCACAGCACAAGTTCAGCCTGGGATCAATCACCAGGGGACTCTCATGAATCTCTGTCTTCATGTTGTCTTGACTTATCTTCTCTGAGGCAAAGAGTAGAGTTTTCAAATTGTGGCTTACAGGCCTCCTGCATCAGACTCACCTAAATTAGATTCTAGCTCCCCACCCCAGATCCACAGAACTGACTCCTGGGTGTGTCACATGACATTGAGTTAGCTCCGACTCCTGGTGACCCTATGAATGAATGATGTCCATAGTGTCCTGTCCTCAGTTCCTGTAGACTCAAGCCTATGGCTTCTTTTATGCTGTCAGTCTGTCTCATATTTGGTCTTATTCTGCTGCCTTCTATTTTTCCCAGCATTATTGTCTTTTCCAAAGAACCCTACCTCCCATAATGTCCCTGTAGTCGAACGGTTTCAGTTTTGTCATTTTTGCCTCCAGCAAGGTTTCAGGCTTAATTTGCTCTAGGATCCACTTGCTCATCTTTCCGGTGGTCCAGGGCATCTGTAGAGCTCTCAATATCATATTTCAAATCATCATTTTCCTATTAGCCTTCTTCACTGTCCAACTTTCAGAACTGTACATAGTAATTGGGAATATGAGGGTGTGGATATCTTAACCTTGGTCGCTAATGCCTTATCTTTCTGGTGATCTTTCCTAATTCTTCCATTCTTGCCCTTCTGAGTCTCAGCCTTCTCTTGAGTTCTTGGCTGCAGTCCTCATTTGAACTGATAATTGAACTAAGCTAAGCAAAAGCTTTAACAAGTTCAATGTCATCACTATGTTAAAGTTGTGTATTACTTCTGTAGCCATAATATTATGTTAAAGTTGTGTATTTCTTCCATAGTCGTGATTTTTGTCTTCTTGATGTTCAAATGCAAGTCTTACTTTGGCACTTTCTTACTTTCACCAGAAGTCACTTCAAACCACTGCTACTTTCTGCCATAAAATGGTGTCATCTGCATATCTTATGTTGTTGATATTTCTTCCACCAATTTTCATTCCTCCTTCCTCTGAGTCTAGCCCAGCTTTTCATATCTTATGTTCTGTATATGGCTTAAACAAATAGGGAGATAAAATTCACCCTCTCTGTCACTTTTGCCTATAGGAAACCATTCTGTCTCTGCATACTCTGTCGTGACAGTGGCTTCCTGTCTACAATACAGGTTACACATCAGGACAATCAAGTGCTGAGGCACGTCTACTGCTTTCAGCGCAACCCACAGAATCCTGGGTGCAGGGCCTCAAGTCTGCATTTTGAACGACCTTCCACTAAAGTTTCAGAGCCATTGCATCACTCACACCATGGCCATCAGCGACACTCTCCATGCAGACCACAGCATACCCACTCTCTGCTGTGACAGGCACTGTTGGTGCCAGGGGAGAGGCAGATTCTACCCACTCTGGTGTTTCCTTGTGTGTAGAGGATGACATACATTAGGGATAGGAGAGTTTAAAATCTTTAGAACCAGTCCTAAACTTCTATTCATTGTGCTTTCTGCCTTGAATGCCCTAACCAATCAGAAAACTCTACTCCTATTTCAAAACCCACCTTAGGCACTTCTTGGTAAAGCCTTCTTTAAAGCACCTTCCCAGCCTCCTGCCCACTCTCCTGCCCAGGGAGATCTGATTATTCCCTCCTCTCTGGCACCTCAGTACCCATATGTATTTGCTGCTACACAAACCAACCTCATTTGCAATGATCTGCCTCCCTTACTAGACCTGAGTTCCTTGAGATGAGAAACATCATCTTATTGATCTTGGTGACTCTAAAATGCCTGGTACACAGAGGGTGCTCAATAAATGCTGAATGCGGGGGGGAGGGGCACAGAGAGGTAGTGAAGAACTCAGGCTGTTGGAGTCCAACAGACAGACTTAGGTTTGACACCTGGCCCTGCCACTCCCTAACTGTAGCCTTGAACAAGGCACTTCACACCCTGGAGCTCATCCTCTGTAATGTGCCAGTAACGGTCAAGGCCTCCTCGCTGGGCTGTTCCAGGGATTTGAGCATGGTATTTGTCACACAGTAAGCACTCAAAGATGCAGGGTTAGCTGCTAATATTATTATTATGTTGTGGTCATTATAATGGGAGCCATAATTAACATAATTTCTAAATTATACATGGAATAGTCCAGAACATAGGAAGGAGAGCTCAGACTGAATCCAAACAGTCATGAAAAGAGGACTTCATAGGAGGTGTTATGGAACTGTGGAGAGAAACCAGAGCAGGAAGTAGAAAGTGTGGTCTTAGCCGGGTAATCTTGAACAAGTTAGTTAATCTCTACACCTTAGTTCTATTAACTGTAAAATGGGAGCAGCAACTGTACCTTAATGCTTTACTACCCACCTGCTATGGTGTTATTAGGAGGAAACAAGTAGAAAGACATCTAAACTAGCAGTTACTACATATGATAATGTTATTGTTACCATCACTGCCTTCATTAAATAATCTCTGAAAAAATTCTAGTAACTACAAGGAGGCCCTTACAGACAAACCCAGGGGAAAGATCAGGGTAATAAGTCCTGAAAAGAAGATTCTGGAAGCTCCCACCTGTGGTTGGCCTGTGGTTCTATGTGAAGGGCTTCATGTGACCCTCATACTCATAAATTGTGACCACCACTGCACAGGACAGGACAGCAACTGAGGGACATTTGGGAGCTCGCCCAGAGCCAAATGGCCAGGAGGCACAGTCTGAGAGTTCCGGCTGTTCCATGGCCCATCCAACATCTGCTGTTCTTTGTCTTTTTCAATGGAGCCATTCTGCTGGCTATATAGTCACGTTGTACTGGGGTTTTATTGTATAGTAATGCCTTTTCATATATTCATGGCTATTTGAATATCTTTTGCAAGGTACCTGTGCAAGTCTTTTGCCCACTTTTTTATTAGGTAGAGTACCTTTCTCTTATTTATTTGATGGAGTTCTTTATATATTCTGAGCACAGATCCTGTATTGGATATACATGTGGCAAATATTTTCTCTGAATGTGGCTTATCTTTTCACTCTTTTTATAGTTGTCTTTTGATGAGTAGCAGTTTCTTTTGTTTTTTTTTTGGTACGTGCCCCTAGCGGGAACTGAACCCAGGACTCTTTGGTCCGCAGGCCAACGCTCCAACTGCTGAGCCAAACCGGCCAGGGCGAATAGCAGTTCTTAATTTTAATTATCAATCTTTCCCTTGGATAATGTTTTTTGTATGTAGCTTAAGAAATCCTTACCTACCCCAAAGGTCGTGAAGAGATGTTGTTTTCTTCTATAAA